TCAATCATAGAATTCTTGGAATACCCTATAATTCCACGGAACTCCTTGTAAGTCGCTGCAAATTTGCTTGAGTTAATGGAATTATTCTGAAGCTATCTGATCGTCCTCGAAGGATTCGAAACTTCGCTGAATATCATTAAACTATCTAAAAATATCTGAATTTACTTCTCTGGAATTTCTTGAAGATATCGCTGCTTGCTTAAAGTTCTTTTTTTTATGAATGGAACTTCGTTGATGTTCTCTAATCAACTTAGCTAAATTTACGCATTTTTTAAGTTTTTGAAATCTCCCTTAAAATGCTCTCACGTGTTCTGGATGTTTATAAAATTTCCAGGAGTTCTCTCGGAGCATTGCTGAAGTTTTCGGAAATTCACTGAGTTTCTCGAAACTTCTTTAAGGTTTCTAATATTTCCTTTAAATTATTTGAACTACCTTTTGATTCTCTGACCTGTCTTCCATAAAGCTCTTAGTTCTATTGAAGATCTCGGTTCTGCTCGGAAATAAATAGAATTCTCTTAAACACCTTTAAATTTCCTTGAAATTCTTTGGACTTCTGTGAAGTTTCTGAAATATTTCTGAAGTTTTCATAAATTCTCTGAAGGTCTCTGTACTTCCCTGAAATTCGCGTAACATCTTGAGGGTTCTCGATTTGTTTTTGAACACATCATGGAACTATCCTGAATTTATCTAAATTAACGATTATAGATTTTAAACTGCTTCAAAAGTCTGGACTATAGCTATGGGAACTGCTCTTAAGATCTGAAATTCCCCAAAGATCTCTAGATCTAGCTTATCTGAGGTGCTTAGAACTTCTTAAAAAGTTGCACAATACCCCTCAAGCTTTCCAAATTTATCAAGTTCGCTTGACACCTGTGAAGTTCTCTGAAATTCTAGGAACTTCATAAAAGTTCCTGAAAAGTCTCAGGTGCTAAAATTACCGCTTTGAGGTTCTTACAGCTTCCAGTAAGTTTCCCATATTTCCAGCGTGTTAACTTCCCTTAAGTTTCTATCAGTTTGCAGAGCTTCACTGAAGTTCTCAGCATTTCTTTTCATTCCTAAATTGTTGTAAAGTTCCGAGTGTAGCTTCAGTGAAACCACAGAGTGTGGCTCTACGGTGCATTCTGTATATTCTTAATATATGTTATAACTTGTTTGACTTCAATGCTTCCCGTGCTAGCCTTAAGTATTTATTCTATAATGTTTTATCATCCTGATTAAGTAAAGATTAATGTTTCCTGATTTAGTTTAAGTACACATGTATCTGTAGGATTTTATGTTATCTGTTGATACGAAAAGAAGAGATTTTCCACCCACTTGAGAAGGGGCAAGGTTGATCTTTCTGAAGTGGGCTTTTCCCTCTCAAATAAAAAAAATAAAAAGTAACGAAAGAGTCCCAAAAGATCGATCCATCCCTGCCACTGTGCGTCAGTCTCAGTTCAACAATCGAGTGCCAATCACCGACGAGCGTCGATTGCCAATTGATGATTGATAACTGATGGCAAACGAGTTCCGTTGAAGCGTTTTTCACACCTGGAACTAGGGTTTTTATCTGGTAATTTTGCTACTGTTAACGTATTTTTATTTAAAAATCAAATCATTAAAGCCATAAACATGCAAATGTGGATTAAGGTGATTCCTTGTAGAGTCCACAAATGCCGCCACGTAGGCTATAAATACACTTCAACCTCGAATTTTCAATTACCTAACGGGTGTTCAATAAAAAATGAGATTTTTTGCAGTCATGTAGCTAGTAAAAAAAAATTCAACGAATTCAGTATTTTTTATTGAAAACATAATGTTTATTCTTCAAAAGAAAACGTCAATGAACTTAGTCGCGATGCGCTCACAAGAGCGCTGGACGGCACTGAAATCATTCTCATTTTTTATTGAACACCCGTTAGATTCCGGAAATTAGTGCTCCAATTCACCTGAAATTGCTACTGCATTTATTCTGCAGCGCAGCAAACGTGGAGTAACAGTTTCATTGTGTAACGTGTCGTGGAAACTGATATTTGTGCACTTAAAGTTGCGAAGTGGTAGCGAGAATAAGGATCTCATAGCGAAACACCTTAAAGTGAGTGAAATTGATACATACAGTGAGCTATGTCAATAGGATTTGATTTGCTTCGAGATCTAGAGCTCTAAGCAACATTAACGACTCGATTGCCTAATTTCGGTACTTGGGTCGGTAATGGAGCTCGTGAGCTCTCGAAGCTTTAAATCACATTTGGATGTATAAAGCTTTTGAGATTTCATTTAATTACAAAAATACGAACAGCGGCAAAATCACCGGGTGAAATCCCTACCCTGAATCTATCGAATTCATAATCACATGGGCCGGTACCAAAGACTTTACTTTCATTCCAAAGGAAAACAAGACCAGAGATTTCTACGCCTCAGAACGACCTCGGCTGGGATTTCACACAGGCAAACTGAGGTGATAAAGCAGTCACGCTTCCCGAGCAAAGTTCAACATCAAAATGATATTAAATATAAATGAAATGTTGACATCAAAATAGAAATCATAATTTGACTTCAGTTTACGATTATTGGCAAATATGAAATCGAATTTAGTTTTAATTCTGTTATACTTTTGATCTACATCTCAATACTCCGAGCAAAGTCTGAGATCACATTGAAAACTAAATTTGATGTTGTGATGTCAATCCGTGCAATTTCTATCAAAGTGCTCTTGAAATGCATGTCAGAATTCCTTTGTCATATTTTATTTTGGTCAGAATTTCATTTGAAATTATAGTTACATTTTTACCTTTGTGTTTGTTGCAATTTTCTCCAGAATTTCCTTTGGGATTCTTCTGAACAATCCTTTGCAATCCTTATGGAATTCTCCTCAGAACTATCATGTAATTCTACTCATAGCTTCCTTGAATTTCTCCATATAATCCACCTGATATTCTCCCCACGAAGCCCATGGACAGAATGATATTGGAAGTAAGCCCATAAGTTTTTTTTTCAAAATCCTCTAAGAGATGTTTTTAGAATACCATTAGAACTATCTTAATTCTCATCGAACTTTACTTGAAAATAAGTCCCAAAACCTTGATAGTTTTCCACCGTCCAATATCATGATTCGTTTTCAAAAAATACAATGGAACTTATTCAAAGTCCGATACGTTTCAATTTTGGGGCATCATCAATTTTCTTAAGGATTCTTGAACATATAATACTTTTCAACATTCTGGAAATGTATTTTGCTACTGAATTGCGAGAGGGCATTGACCCTCTTCCTCTGCCCCGTCTGGCTACACCCGTGGATTAAATGTCAATGGAATGATTTTCGTGGAAAAGTTGCTGGATATAAACTCTTCAAATTCGCCCTTTGGCTAGTCGCTCTTGGTTGCATCACCGCCTCGCTACATCACTGCCATAGTGCGAGATAAAATCAAAGTACAGTCAACTTTCACTCGTTGGACTAAATGCACACGTCATTTTGAGGCTACTTTTTTTTAGTAGAAAATCACTCAGTCCAGCCAAAAGGTAAGTTACTCAAAAATGAAAGACTTTCGCTAGTTGGGCTGAGCTGTCTAAGCTGAAAATTGGTTGGGGATACATCGATTGTTTATTATCATCAAAATCGTTTAGAAACTATCCAAATTGTTAATCCATCCAACACTGTCAGAAATGACGTTTGACTTCAATTTCGGTGGGCTACAGCCCAACTAAAATGTAGCCCACTTAAAGATAGTCCAACGTGCAAAGTTTGACTGTGAATTAAATTGTCCATTTCGAATTTAAATTTCACTGAGACGAGCCAGCTAATGGCTGAAAGTTTCTATAATAAAGGTTAGAAAATAAAGATTTAATCAGATTCCAATCCAGCACTTGCTTGCAGATTTCCTTTCCATCACTTCGTAGTGTGTCTGTGGATATTGGCTTCTGGTGACATCGATGCTGAAGCTCAGCAACAGATCTAATTGTGAGGTCACCAGGCTAAAAAAATACACCATATACATCGGTTAGTAAAGACCTGCCACTTATGAGTTTTCTCCACTTAGACGTACCATGGCTCGTTAACTCCACTTATACAGACGATTTCACGTTGGATTTGAAAGCTCGGATTTTGGTGCGTGTGTCGTGCACCTATGTTGTTCCTGCTCCAGCCATATGACAATATATGGCTGCCAAGATATTGGAAACCTTTGACATTCTCCACTGCTTGCTCTGCTATCGTAAAGATCCGAAGATACTTCCATTCCATTATATCTGAGTTTGCTATATATGAGTGGTGGGATCACGTAGCTTGCTGCTTAGTGTTTTTTTTTTTTCAACATGAGATTATGTATCCCTTTGAGAGTCTTTTCAGATGCTTCGTTCTTTAATCTGATTTTCAAGAAGCCTTCAGAAACATGTTCCCTCCAAGATATACTAGATTGACTGCAATATAAGGCTTGAAGTGCTGCCATTTGCTTGTTTGTGCCATCAAACTGACCGTTTTTAGCTTTTTCGATGTCAATCCAAATCAATCCCTACACTGAAGCTTTCAACGGCAGCAAACAAGATCAAGATGCAAACAAACGAACCTCTTCATATTCAATTAAGCTCTCGCAGCTCGTCAGTCACCCCGGGCCTAACCATTATTGGACAACCATATACTCAGAAACGGAGGAACTTCCTTTCTTATTTATCAATGTTTCCTTTTCGATCAAATTTTCCAAACAATCAACAGCATTAAGAGTCTAATACATAAATACTTACTGTGGGAAACTGCTGAAACTTCAGTTAACCACTACGCAGAGCGAGAGAATCTAAACAGTCGTGGATATTCCCGCTGAAGGAGGGTGACTATACATTCCTCTCATTTCTCGCAGTGGCACACTCATAACAACAAGCGGAGCGTATGCATTTTTTCTTCTTCCAATCGCTTCTGACAGAAGCAGAAACAGTTTCCAGCTTATCCTAGGAATCTTCTGTCTGTGCTTCCAACGCGAAAGCAGGTCACCAGAGCCAGATGCATTGGACTATTCGAATTTTTTACCTACCTTGTATGGCTTTTTGTTGTCATCCTCCATTTTAGTGCAGTAGGTTGGTTTGTTTCACTTGCGCTCACTAATCACAACGATGCAGGTTCAATTTTTCGATACACACAACTAGAAATCTCAATTTGGCACAAGTTCACTTCAGCAATTTGATATTTGTTGTTGCACAAAACTGACTCACTTATCGCTTCCGTCTGACACTGTACACTTGGAAATTGTTCTTCTGACACAATTTCGATCAAAACACACCTTTTCACTTTCGATGCACTCGCGAGAATGACTGTTTAAGATTAAGAACAATCCCGATACACTGCACTGCTGCCTCCAGCTGAATCCACTTTCGGATTTGACCAAAGTCAGTCTCGAAATCCACAAGGAAACACTTCCGATTCGAACGCTGGCAAGATTGGTAATAAAATTGCTCGACTTTTGTCCAGACGACTCCACCTAAATTTACGAGAACAAAGTTTTCGCACAGCAGTTCTCCCTTGTTGTGTGAGTTGCGAAGGCAGGGGAGACATGACGCGTGAGAACGTTCTCTCTAATCGGAGCAGTGTTGTTCGTTGCGCTCACCAACACAAACGGGGGTTTGTTTTGTTTCTTTACGCATGGTGCGATGACACACACACACACAAACATACATGGAGCAAAAGAAGCGCGCGAACTAGCACGTGTTCTCTATCGCTGTCTGCGTCTGTCGGTGATGCAAGAGTAACCTCTCGCGCTAAATAATGCAATTTTATCTTATGTGTGTCAGCATTTTTCGCACACTAATGAAATGTCAGTTTGTGTAGCAGTTTTCTTTTTTTGAGGGAGTTTGCCGTTGGGGAAACGGGGGAAGCCCACCCCTTGCATTGCCCTGTATTACTACGATTCTATGTTTGCCAACGTTTTCGCATTGGTTAATTATTGCGAGATTTGAAACTTTTCCAAACATTTTTTTTTGCAAGTTTTAAATTAATCAAATATGAATGCTGCAATGCGCTGATGGGAATACATAGTACGGTTTTAAGTTCACGAAAAATAATTAAGTACCAAAGGAACACAATGATCGAATAACCTGCCAGGAAAATTTACAAAGTTTATGCGTATTGGAATATTTCTCGCTATACAGTTGTACCTTGTACTTGTAAAACGAGAGTGGAATTATCCTGTTCTGCTGAGGAAAATGCTTTTCAAGAAAATTAATTAAATTTGTACAGTTCATTGCTTGCTGTATGCATGCGAATGCCAGTGAGCAGTTCCAGGTCAAATAGTAGAAAAAATGAACTTTGCATAATTGTTTGTTATAGTCAATCATTCACATTTGAGCAATAATTCGATCATTTTGAATCTCTTTCTTTCTTTACTATTGCTTCATTATTATAACATCAACAGACTATTAACAAGCCCCCAATGATGCAACTTAATTCTAAATTAAAAGTTAAAACTCTAGGAATATCAAAAACATAAATGTTAGATTGTTCAACAAAAAACGACTACTTCATTTCAAATTGATGTAGGCTCCCATAAATTGTTCTCCGCATACAGAAAGAGATGAAATCGCAATCCTTTTGGCCAAGCCGATGTTTCCAATGCCATGTTTTTCAGCTCATGTGTTATTCCAATTTTGAGGGAAATATACACACTTAGATTTTTTTGCCGAGATGGGCACCACCGAGCAGCTCGGCATTTTATTTTGCTGGAAATTCAGCAAAAAATATGTTTGTTAGCTGAGATCTCGGCAAAATTCCCGTTTGTTAGCTGAATCTCGGCAAGTTTTTCACTGAGAACCAGCAAAATAAAATGCCGAGCTGCTCGGTGGTGCCCATCTCGGCGAAAAAATCTAAGTGTGTAGTCCATCGTTTATGTGTCATTCTATGGAGGCACTAATTTCCGTACTGTTATGATAGGAACTGCAAACTTTACTGTTTTCATTTTGTTAACCTACTTTGCTCGGGTAGCTCTCCATCACGTCGGTTTAGGATGTATTCCTCGAGGATTTTTTGTTACACTTCTGTAGACGAAATACGTAATACTGTAAGAGATTCTCTTTATTACGATGGTAAATCACGATGGTGGTCACCATCGTAATAAAGAGAATCTCTTACTTTGATTGAACTCACTTTGATTTCAATTGGGTTCTTTAATTTTGAAAAATATATCGGTTTTTATATATCATCTGAAAGAGCTTCGTTTTCTGAGCACAGCGATATTTTTTTTAACCCACACACTTTCATCTCGATTTTTAAATCAAGATTTAAAGCAAAATAATAACTTCACTGTTTGACACTAAACTGAAAAACTGACAGCTCGCTCCCATACAAAGTGACACCGATGGGCGCTAGTAAGGTGATTTTTGCAAATGTAATCGTACTTATTTAAAATAGTTCCAGTGTACCAAAATGGATGAAATTTTGGGTTTGGGTTCCATTTTTAATGCAGAGTAAGAATATGCATTAACCTCAATACCCTTGAAGAACCCAATTGTCACGACATAAGTCTGGTATCATATTGTGCTTTCATTATGGAGTTAAGAGTTTTTTTTTAAATGGAAGCAAAATAATTTAATATTTTGCTGTTAACGTCTTGTTGAAAATTTATTATTGTTTATTCGATTTATTGTTTATTCGATTTGTTTAGCACATTTTAGGTCATACGTGACTTGTGCATAGATGCTACCCGAGCAAAGTGTAAGATCAAATTCAATACCAAATTTGCTGTTGTGATGTTAAAATGTTTGATTATTCATTTTGGTCTCATTTTGGTGGACTGAATGGTTAACACATCAAAAATGAGAACAAATTTGAATGATTTTTTTGTTTTCACTTTAATTGAATCTCTTATAAAGTAATTGAATACAAATCCATGTATGAGGGCTTACTGCAAAAATGCCTATTCTGAACATTGCTAGGTACGGTTTTCTTGATTACAGAGGCTTTCAGCCTGAGGCTAATTCACCTTCACGTGAACGTTGTTTTTAGGCTCAACAAGTTTACACATTCCTGAAATACAACTTCACTTCCTAGACATTTCAAATGAACTAATGATCTTGCCAGCCACCACCACACAAATCCGCTCCTTGTTCTAATAAATTCGGCATTATTTGGTAGCTGATCTGATTAATTTCCATGAATTCTTCATCGTCTGCGAACCAATGTGCTGTCCTCATTTGGAACGGGAATCGACTGATCACACCGCTCCTATTAGCGGAGTCCCAGAGTGATGGTTCCGTTGTCATATTATGCTCGATTCGCCATGAGCCTGCAACTTGGAAAGATTTGCTGCTGGGCGAACGTCCAGTACCGTTTTTAGCATGAAAAGCCGAAGTCAAAATCGATCAGAGCTAAACGAAAATGAAAATGTAGGCAAAAATGATGACAAACAGAAAGCTGCAGTATACATAAATAACATCGATGAAACGTCATTGAGTGTACACGCTATTTCAAAACTACCCAAATTTGGGTATAATCCACCAAGAACGGTCAAAATTGAACCTACCCAAAAATGGGTAAACCTTGTTGTGAGTGACAAGTTGACAAATGAACAACATTGACATGAATCCGATCAACGTATTTAAACAGTTTTGGCCGATCTGGGTGGATTCTACCCAAATTTGGGTAGTTTTGAAAAAGCGTGTATGCGTTAAAGTTTAACCGTAAAATTTTTCGCTTGACAGTTAATATCATCAATATTTATACTAAAGATTATAATACCTAACAATTTGAGTAATTTTTACACCAAATATTACTTGAGATCAAGTTGTACTTTCCCTAAATTGCATCCATCAGTGACTTTGTGTGCAGTTGCGCTTTAATCATGCAAATAAATGCGTCGATCCAACAGGCAAGCTGCAAAGATGAGAATTTATACTAAGTAAACATATATTACCGATGGATTATTTACCTTTAACAAATGTAACCTTTTCCTCTTCCAACGCTTTATATGAACTACAGATGGAACTGCTGATGAAGTACTAGTTCCGGCGACTGCATCTTCCAACACGGTGCGAACAACAGATTGAACTGCTACTGATGTACTCGGTCCGGCAACTTGATCTTCGTCTTCGTTGGAGCTTTCATTTTGCTTTGGGTTTTTCGTGCGCCCTGTAGGATTGTTGGATGTTCTTTCTGTTACCACCGGCCAGATAGCATTGATTAAAAACTTGATGAACAAGTAGGTAGTCGCTGTTCCTTTCCTCCATAGACATTCTCAGTATGATTTCGCTGGATGGGAATCCTTCTTCAGCTCTAAATTAGAAATACTCAGAGGGAGAGATAGGCGGAGCAAACAAAATACAATTCGGCAGCAGAGATTTGTGCCTAAATTATCTTGCAACCCTTGCTAGAAGCTCGCATTTTAAATGACTTGTATTTTTGATTCGATTTACGTGCAAAATAATAATTGATTGCATCGTAATATTTTGCACATTTCTTGGTGCCATTCATTAACCAACGAAGATCAATTAATCAATAGAGTTAAAATATTGTTTTTGGTTCCAAAAATTAGTTGAATTTGAGAAGCACACAAAACATAAAGGTGATTGAATTTCTGTTCGATTGCAATACTCTCAAAATTTAACCTAGTGGGAATAAGAAATCCTCGGAAAAATTCTAATTAGAATGTTCGTTTGGCTCAGATTTTGACAGTTCATTTCGATCAACTGAAAGTCTCGTTAATAAAGGAAAAAAAAAAAACAGTTCATTTCGATCAAAACATTCTCTCCGTTCATCTCTCCTTCTAGTATTTCTAGTTTTACCGTGGTAGATAGCACTTTTGAAACCAGAGGGGGAGGTAGCTCATCGATTCTTCCGGTTCGCCTCCTAGCATCGTGCTATAAGGTACCAGGCGATAACCAGGGTAGTTGATCGATAGCTCGATGACGTCATTTCGTTGGCGTCTGCAATGGGAAATTCTCATAGCAGGCGTTGACGATGGGACGTTGTCGAGTTGTTGAATTGGCGTCTTGCAGTGAAACTTTTCCAAGCTTTCGCCTCCTACATTTCGAAGTGAGAACTACTAGAAGGAGGATAGTTTCCAAATTTTCCAAGTAAAACAGACGATTTTTGGGGCAAATCGGTCCATAAAGAAAAACTAATAATTTCCCGTGGAAACTTTTGCTTGAATCGTGTAAGAAAACGTGTTTGAAAACTAATTGTTATTATTTCGGTGTGGATCGGAGAGGTTTTCATGGATAATAATGCATAACAAGTTTGCACCCCCAGCGAGAGGTTACCTCCTGCGCAGCTGCATTTTTCGGAAAATGGTGAATATGTGCGATTTCCACTAAGATGAAAGTAGAAATTAAGTGAATTTACTTAGGAAAGGTTGTCTCATGCTGGTGGTAATGGAGAATTGGTTTTATAGCTCGCCAATATTCAATAAATGTTCATTTTGGCCTTTTCTAAGCAAACATATTGATACTAACAATTTTCTACGGAAAAGCA